GTATGCCATTTTAAATCCTCTGCATTCATCCCCCATTATTGTGGACATTCAAACTAGCTTGTCTCGACATAAAAATCTACACATTTGTTTAGAATGGACAAAAGCTCATGTGGGGAACTACGGTAATGAAACTGTCGATAGGCTTGCTAAAGAAGCAGCACAGAATCACGAGATAACACAGACCTTGACGGTTTCACGCCCAGTATCTAATCTAAAGCGTCACTTACTTCTCACAGCCATCTCCTTGTGGCAAAATGCATGGAGTTCGGAGGAAACTGGTCGCCGAGCATTTGCCCATGTCCCTAAAGTAGATTTAGACCGATTAATCATGCCACCACAGCTGATCTTCTACATTACGGGCCACGGGCCTTTTCCCTTATATTTCGAGAGACATGGACTCTCTTCCTCAGCACTCTGTAGTTGTGGACAACTGGGCAATCCAGAACACTATCTAATCGATTGTCCACTTACTACTGAATTCCATATTCCTTTTCCACCAACGGATAGGACTGCCTTTAGTCGTTTTTTGATTAAGCAACGGCATCAAGTCAAAAAGATAGTCCGTTTAATTGACAAACTGATGAATCTGGGACTTGATCTTTGTGCCTTATAATATCGACATATGATTCAACTTCTTCAACTGCTTGTATATATTATAACCCATCTACTTTTATGCTCTGAAGTGTTTGTAACCATTGTAATCTATTGTAATCCATCTGTTATAAGTCGCTGTGTATAGCAGCAGTCAAATATTTGTATATTCTCTCTCAGCATCTTTTTCTAAGTGCAACCAGGTAATATTGTCTATAACAGCTGTCCTTGTACCTATGGTACATTTAATACCAGGTGCTGTTTAGTATCTGTATATCTTGCATTTGCCTATTTACCGATGAATAATAATGTTATCTTTTGCATATGCACATTTATTATCAAGTGCTGTTAAATATCTGTATATATTGAATTTGCATATTTATCTGTTGCATATGTATTGTCCTAATAGTCTCTTTGTTGTCCATAGCAGCTATCAATGTACTTATGGTACATTTTTTACCAGGTGCTGTTAAATATCTGAATATATTAAATCTGCATATTTACCTATGAATAATAATGTTATTGTCTTTATTTTTATCTTTTGCCCATGTATTATCAAACATATAACTGTCTGTATTCCCTCATAATGCACTATGATAATATCTACATTGAACGTATTTTGCGTTTTTCACTGTATAATAGTATATAATATCTTGGCATATCTAGTTGGGCGTATTAATGGTACATTGTTTGCCAGTTGCTGTTAAACATCGGTATACCATATACTTGCATATTTGGCTATACATTATACTGTTACTGTCTTCTTTTCATCAATTGCCCATGTAATATCATACATTTAATTCTCTGTGTAATAATAACACTGAATGTATTGGGGTCGCTAGAGATTTTCATTGTATAATATATCCAACCATTATCCATTGTTTTAAATATATCCATTGTATTTATACCAACATTGAATGTATTTTGTGTTTTTCACGGTATAATATATGTTCATAATTTGTGGCATACTTAAGTCTATATTTCATCCTTTGCAAATGTATAGTAACACATTTAACTGTCTGCATCAATTTATTTGCTGCATAAGGATCACAAGTGTCATGATAATTTTAAATGTATATTTGTGTTACCAACACTGAATGTATTTTATATTTCTATTGTATAGTATCTACTATATCGTATTATGTATTGTTTGTATTGCTTTATACAGGTTAAATATGTTAATTTTTATTCATTATAATCGTTTAATTAGCTTTTGTATTGTATTGTATTGTAGTATTGTATAGTATTGTATGGTATCTTATATAAGTTATCTTTTATGCAGGTAACTGCATCAATTTATTTGCTGCATTAGGATCACTGGTATCATGACAATTTTAAATGTATTTTTGTGTCACCAACACTGAATGTATTTTGTATTTTCATCACTAGTGTCATGACAATTTTAAATGTATTTTTGTGTCACCAACACTGAATGTATTTTGTATTTTCATTGTATAGTATTGTATAGCATCTACTGTATCGTATTATATTGTGGTATTGTATCTACTGTATCGTATTGTATTGTGGTATTGTATAGTATTGTATAGTATCTTATATCAGTTGGCTTTTAGTACAGGTTAAATATGTTAATTTTTTTTTGTATTGTATTGTATTGTAATATTGTATAGTATTGTATAGGTATCTTATATTCGTTAACTTTTATGCAGGCTAAATATGTTATTTTTATTCCTCATAATCGTATAATTAGCCTTATTGCATGTTTTTCCCACAATACCACGTGATCAAGTGTATTGTACCGCTATTGCATTCTGTTACATTGTATTCTTTTATTTTTATTTCTTTTGGTATATCCTCTGTGTATTGCTGTAATCATTTACATTCATTATTTCACTATGTTCTCTATTTTTATGTTATATTGTCATTAAGTCTAATTCTACTGTCTATATTTTATTCATTGTATATTATTGGGCTGCCCAACATCAGACTGTACTTTAGCTTATGTATATTCTATATTTGTGTGTATTACACCTTTGTAAAATTTTTGCTTATTGTCCAAACTCGCCCTTTTTGGCCCTGCATGCTTTTGTTATTTTATTTAATAAATGTGGGGCCTGGGCGGTTGTTGGGACTGTCTTTCGTGGGCATTTGGTCTGTTGGACTGCCCCCGGGTTGAATTTGGCTCTGGGTTTGGGCGCCCGGCGCGTGGCGTCTTGTGATTCCTCTTTAGGCTCTAGATATAGGTGGACGTGGTGCTATACCGATTAACCTTTTGGTAAAGGGACAGTGCCCACGTCCTCCGTTGCTTATCGCTTGAAAGCCTTAGTCAGTAAAAGTTAGTGCTTTTTAGTTATCATTTCAAGTCACCTATTCCAAAATGGGTTTTGGTTCCCTTTTGTTGAATTATAGTGATTATGGTATTCCTAGATTTCGGTTAAGATTTTTATGCTGGTACTTAATCTGCATGAAGTAGTTACAAAATTATCAATAATTTAAAAGTTTAAATGTCGCTAAGCCTAAAGAGGTCGCCATTTGTTTCCGTTTGTAGAGTAGTCATTTGCTCTAATTTTAATTGCAAAACTTGTTTTTTAACTGTATTTGGTGTTTTTGGTTTTTCTCTGTTTTACATTTTAATGAAGATGTTTTGAGTTTTAATGCATTTTTGCCCTGGCGCGAAATAAGAAGGGAATTAACTGAATGAGAAATATATCTCTAAAGAAATATTCGAGACAATGAGATTAAATAAAGTTCAGCAAAAATATATACAATTTAATAAACCAAACAAGGAAGTCATTTAATATCCACATCAGATATTTTAATTTTTTTCAGAGTAGCAAATGATATTTTATAATCCAAATATTATTATATTATTATAATATTATTGATATTTATAATCCCATAATTTTACAGACATATTACAATGGAAGTTGATCCAAATATTATTATATTATTATACTATTGATCCAAATATTATTATATTATTATTATTATTATAATATTATTGATATTTTATAATCCCATAATTTTACAGACATATTACAATGGAAGTTTTTAATGAAAAGTAAATATGTATTATTATTTGTGAATTTCTCATTTTATTATCAATTTTAGCTGTTATTGCAGATTTCCGATTCCATTATTAGATTTAAATTTACGTTTAGAGCTTTTATTTCTTCATGATTAACTTAACTAAAATTTTATTATATTTTTAATTAACTAAAGTTTAATAAGCAGTAATAATATTTTACTTGCTTTCCTTCCTAATAAAATTCATTTCGATACGAAATCTATGAAACACCAATAGACAGAAAAACTGGTATCCAGTTTCATTTGGAAAAATATTTAGGCATATAATATTGTACTGTATAGCAAAATGTATTGAAAAATCTTTCTCTCAAATACTGAAATATTTTTAAGCAAAATTCTTGAAGTGTAAATTTATTTGTTTACGTATTTTATCTATTTATCGATTTTAGCAGCTCGTTAAATTTATCGACTTGTCTTCTTATATCTTGGAAGATTTGTTCTTTTGATCAGATATCAATAAAATAAATCAAATGTAAAAGCAGAGGCTCGGAATATTGTTCTTTTGGATCTGTAATACAAACTCTTTATTTATCCTTTGATTTATGGCTATTAAGAGTTCTTTAAATGAATCGAATGTTTTGTTTAACTTATAAGTAACCGACAAAGTATGAAGTCCGATATTCTATAGAAAATTTAGGCATTTTATAGAATGCGGAAAACTGGACGGCAATGTATGAAACCTCTAAACATTTCACACATTTCTTAGGCATTCCATAGAATGCCAAATTTCAAACCGGTTCTCCGATTCGTTTCGAATAACTGAAACTGCTTATCGAATAGTTGAAACTTCAAATGTATGTGCTGTGGATGAAGTTCATGTTCACGTTTATAGGGTGTTAATCGTTGTCAAACTTTTTTTAATATTCGTTCTCAATATTTCTACAGTGGTTCCTAACCTTTTTTGCTCTGGCACCCCTTTGTGCATTGCTAAAAGATCATTCACTCCACTCCAAAACTCGAAAAATACATATACATTTATTTAAATTTGGATTATTTTTTAATGTTTTTATAAATTAAACAGGAAAAAGTATAAAAAATGCTAATAAATACAAAAACATAAAAATTATCTTTTTTTATACATTCATAAAATAAAACTAAACATTTAACAACAGGTCGATCACTTTCCCAGTGCCTTGTGTCTGCACCCAGGGACCAAAAGTTTGAACATGCTCAGTCCCTCATCCGAAGATGTGCCCCTCGAAGCCTGAAGTTGTGCATTTTTTAAAATTTATTGCATGTTTTGGGAGAATTCAAGAAACTTTTGATTAACGAACTTTGCGATATAAAAGCAATGACTTGCCCCTAAACGAAATTGAACAAAGATTGAGAAGCTTTCCCTCAATATCAAGAGAAGATTGTATATTTCAATCATTAGGCCAATCATCATCCCCCGCTTGGGAGAACGCTAAAGAAAATTATTAAAAAACTCCAGGAACTGCAAAATAAGACACTTCGTATTATTACTGACTCTCCTAACTTCATCAGAATTCGGACTCTACACTCGGATCTTAAAATAGATCCCATTAAAAATTTCCTCACTGGAATTAAAGAAACAGTTTTCAATAAAATTACCTATAACAATCCTGCTAACTATGCGGATATTATTACGTACGAAATTCTGGAGGAAGACAGGTTTTTCCGTCCATTCGCTGCTCATTCCCTTTGCTCCCGCCACCAGGACAGCCAATGTACAAGCATAGCTTCTGCGTATGTATTACCTCTAGTTGACACTTTTGTCTTTCCAGATAGATCAGTGAAACTTTAGAGACTCTCTTGCGGCTGGCTCCATCTTATGGAACACAATTTTGTGAATACATTAAGTGGTCATTTTACATACTTTGCCCTTATCTGTTAAATTTTATCGCAATCTTATGCATATTTCACACCCTTCTCTAGTAATTGGCAAGCTTCCCTTTCACATCGCTTCTGATTGTCAACAATTCTCCTGCGAGCAGCTTACTAGCTATCTGCTCTTCAATCAAGAAGCAAGGGCGCTTCATATTTCTCTTTCTTCTCCCCACTGCCCATAAACATCTCATCTGGAGATTACCTTACTGCAGAAATCATAAAAGCCAGGCCCTATTTGGGATCACGAAGATAGAAGTGGTAAGAGCGGGAGGATAACACCCTGCTGAATGCCAGTATATAACAAAGTATCAAAGTATCAACGAAATTTATCTTCCCCGCAATCCATGTGTTGCTATTGGACAAAGCATAAGGTAATTTAATTCTTCTTTTGAATTTAATCTGTAAATTATTAAAGAACTAAATAAAGGCAATAAACACAGTTCCTTCAACTGCGTTATAAATAATTACTAGCTCTACCCGTGAAATGACAGGTGACGGAGGACGGGGACGCCTGGTGTTTAACGGAGGTAAACAGGCATATGTCCCACGCCTCCCCTATATAGATACAAGAACTCCCTGGGGTCCCACAAGGGCGCACCGGGAGTTACTGAGCCTTCATGAAAAAGTTTACATGGCCATACAAGGGTTATTCCAGTTTGACATTGGTTCTGTACAGATTCTTATGTTAATGGTTGACCTGGGTGTTCATAGGCCATAATGCATACATGAAACATAACATTACATACATGATATGACATGACATTAAACTTATACATAATACTTGCATGAATTAGTACATACATACTTACACTTCACATGACATTAGACTACACATACATAATGCATGACATTAATCTACACTTATTAGAGTTATAACCTGACTGTATACTACGTTAAGCTAATGGTATTGCGAACTTGCTAAGTTACTTTATAACTGGATTACTTATAGTTTACATTATTGCTATTACTTCTTAAATGACATTATGATATATAACAAGATAGGCACACATACTTTGCCTTATAATCATATATGCGTTACTTAAAATAATACACATGGGGCACGCGCTAATGACTACATTACCGATTACGTTATGTTAAAAGTACACATAGTATGACGTATTACACTCATTGATTAAATTACTTACATTACACTATTACTTACATTACTTACATTACACAGTTACTTATACACTTACATATTTACAATTTTAGACATAACACCTGCTAAGTTACAATAGAGACATAGAATTATTGCGCTGTGTATGCTATTATTCCTATGTTGGTTGGCAGACATCCTGCCCTAGAGCGCTCAGCTGCTGTATAATTTTACATATATTTCTTATCGCAGGTGCGTGTTTGATGATGAACCTCTTGTAAGGTACTATATCCGTAGTGGGATATGGTAGGTGATGGCTCGTCGTGAGGCTACAGTTGAACACGTAGTAGTGGTCGGGGGAGCCAATTTCCCCACACACACACGCTTCTGTCATGGAAATAGCACGCTTATAAAAGAAGGTGGGAAAAGGGCCATGCCCCGTGATATAGTTTACTAAAGGGGGTATGGCCTGTAAGCGTTCTTTATCTACTACAGGGTAGAACTCGAAAGTCCTTCTGCCGGTATCTCCATTCTCCCATTCGTGTTGCCATTGTTTATTCCCTATGTCTCTTAGTTGTCTTTTTAAAAATGACGGCGGGATTAGTGCTGAGACAGCCTGTGCATTATTGTTGATTGCTGCCTCATTGGCCAGTTGATCTGCCATCTCATTGCCTGCGATCCCAGAGTGGCCTCTTACCCATTTTAGCTTGATGTTAGATTGCTGGTTGCTATGCAATGTCTGTTGGATTTGCAGGATTATGGGAGATGTGTGATGATGATTCTTTAATGCCTGCAGCACTGACATGCTGTCTGTGCAGATTTCTGTTCGTGCAAGTTGTATGTCATGTGCGTACTGTATTGCCGCTTCAATTGCTATGGCCTCCGCCTGGAAGATACTATTGTGAGCTGCAAGATGACCTTTCCATTGACTGTGAAGTGTACCATGCTCATAATAAGCATAAGCACAACCCACTCCGTTATCATGTTTGGAGCCATCTGTGTAGAATTGCGAGGCGACTGGTACATCCTCTATTCGCGGCGTAGATCTCTTTGCTATTTTGACGTGTATGCCCGAGTTTTTATGTGCTGGGTGCACGTGCTGTGTGCTGCCTGGTGTTTCGTACTGCAGCGTGCTGAAGACTGTGGTGTCGAGTGCAGCATTCTCCTTTAATCTTATTACCCGCTCATATATTGCTTCTAACTTGGCCCTGATGTGAAGGGGTGTGAGCCCGGTAAGCACAAGTGCTGCATTTGTCGCGGTTGTTCTATATGCCTTGCTAATGTTGAGAGCAAAAGGTCTTTGAATTGCTGACAGGGCTTTTATTTTACGGCTGCTCATTGGTAGTGCCCAAATAGCTGAGGCATAGAGTACAATCCTTTCTGCAACCGTCAAGTAGAGCAGTTTTTGAATGTAAGGGTTCTGCCCCCAGTTTTGTCCCCGAAACTGCCTGGCTTTCTTTGCAATGTTAGCTGTTCTGACTTTGACTTCTTGTAGATGTGGTAGCCAGGTCAAGCCTTGGTCCCACGTGACTCCAAGGTATTTCAACGTTTTGGTGATTTTCAAGTTTCTGCCCATTAGCTTAATACAAGGTCGTCTCGTGGGGTTTGTACCTGGACGCGGTATGACCATGGCCGTAGATTTCTGGGCTGAGATAACGAGTTTCAGCTTTTGGCACGTGTCATAGAATTTGGAGCAAGTGGCGGAGCCGTTCCTCTCCAGTTCGTCTCGCGTACGGCCAGTAACTAGTAGTGCCGCATCATCGGCATACGCCACTACTTTGGTGTGTGGTCAGGCCAATTGAGTTGCAGTAGCGCATTGAACGTAATTATCCAAAGCAGGGGCCCCGCGCAAGAGCCTTGTGGGCAACCCCTCTCCTGCTTCTTTGTATAGACACCACTATTGTTTGCGATTATGAGACTTCTTGAGTCCAGATAATCGTTGAAGATGTTATATAGATTCCTGGGGCACTTTGCCTCCCTGAGGGCCTGCTTGATTGCAGGCCACCAGAGGGAGTCAAAGGCACTCTGAAGATCTAGTGATATAAATGCCGTGTGCCGGTTATTGGCTCTATTATCGTTAATGTGGCTTCTGATCTTATCTAGAGCGTGTACTGTAGAGAGGCCAGTTCTGAACCCATATTGGTTATTGCTAAGGAATTTGGTACGGTGAAGGTGGTACTTTAGCCTATTCACCAGAAGTTTCTCGTAAACCTTCCCCAGCGCAGACAATAAACATATCGGTCTGTAGGAGCTGGGGTCTTCTGGTGATTTATTCTTTTTAAGAAAGAATACGACTTGGCCCTTTTTGAAGGCCGATGGAAATATCTGCTGTCTTAGCAATTTATTAAAGAAGGCCTTGAAGTATGTTGGGCAGGCAGTGTATGCGACCCTGATGATTGCATAGTCCAGTCCGTCAGGGCCTGGCGCTTTCTTGAGCGGAAGATATTTGAAGACTTGCTTAATCTCCTCCGTTTCGAAAGGGATATCATCCGGGGTATCTGGGACGTCTTGACAGTCTCTTGTTAGTCTTTGTTGTGGCGTGTCATCCTCTGGGTTATCTTCCCTGAAGGCTGCATTCAGATATGTGGTAGCAGTATCTTCTGCTATGTTGCCGGTGGAGGGTGGATTTGTGGTCTTGGCGTACAGATGATCCGGCTTGAAGACTTTGGAGGTTGCTAGTTTGTGCAGTATTCCATATGGATTTGAGTTCTCCGTACAGAACTTCCGCCAGCTGGCGATCTTCGCCTTTAGGAGGTTAATCTTGTACGCTGCTCTTTCCTTTCTGAATGCTGCGAGGATTGTAATCTTTGCTTCCTCGTCTGTCGTAGAGCGTAGACGGCGTCTTAACGCCCTGCACTTCTGCCGTTGTTGGCGCAGTTCTTTCGTCCACCACGCAATACCCTGTAGTCGTTTTGCAGTCCTGGTGGGCAGGTATTGATCACATATGCATCGAATGGTGTCTAGAAGTTGTTCTGTATGGTCATTAAGGTCATTCTGATTATTGCATAGATCCAACGCTTGCTCCTTTTGTTGAAGCGCCCTCGAAAAGGCCCTTGTGAGTGCCTGTATTCTATTCTTTGGTAACTTAAATCTCCTGAGTATGCTAATGCTCGTATCACCTTCTATATTGAAGTAAATATATCGGTGGTCCGAACAACTTTCGTCTTCGGCCACCTGCCAGTCATGGACATTGTTGGCGATGTCCTGGGTAGTGATAGTGATATCCGGCCAGCCCTGATGGTAGGTATTATCAAAGGTTGGCTGTGCATGAGGTGCATTGATAATTTGAAGGCCGTTAGAATTCAGGAAATCTTCTAGCAGTTGCCCTTTAGGGGTGGTGGTGGGATACCCCCATATGGTACTATGGGCATTGAAATCACCACCGAGTAAGTGCGGGATCGATGGGTACTTAAAGCTAATGTCCTCAATGCTTGAAATAGTCTCTTGAATGTCATCTGGAGGGGGGCTGTAAATTGAAGAGATAATTAACTGCATCCTCGCAAAACTTAATAGTATTGCTACGTGGTCTCGCTGTTGCTTTATAATGAGAGGCGACCAGGCTGTGTTGCAGCAAACTATTGCAGTTCTTGGTGCAGGTTCATTTGCTGCGGCTTTGCACTGGTAAATCTTCCAGGCAATTGGTAGGCATGCCACCTCTCCAGTTCTGCAGTACGGCTCCTGTATTAAGAGTATATCTGGCTTATGGGTTACTGCGTGCTGTGCAAGATGCGCCGTTGCGGCTTCTGCCTTCTGCAGGTTTATTTGAATACATTTTATAGAGTCTCCTGGGGTACGCGATGCTGTCAGTTGTTGATCAGGCGGTTGCGGCTCAGTCATATTTTGTGCCTCTTCTGATTGTAGCGACGTACCTGCCGTACGACGGGCAGTTGACATCGTAGGCAGGGTGGTTACAAGAGATGCTTCTGCCGGTCCTGTAGTTGTAGTCCGCGCAGTTAATGCAAGCAGGTCGTTGTGCACGGCAGTTTCGCACTTCGTGGTCGTCTGTACAGAACGCGCAGTAGTTTCTATTTTTGCAGTTTTTCTGGACGTGGCCAAATTCCTGACACTTATAACACCGCTTGGTGTTAAAAAAACTCCGAGATTCTATAGACTCGCCAGCCAATGTAAAGTCTTGGGGTCTGCAGGAGGCGTTTGAAGATAGATGGTTGACACTCAATGACCCACTTGACAGTGTTCCATCTGTCCCGGAGTTTGTAGAGGATTCTGGCTGTCGCTTTGGTGGCATTGAATTCTGATGCTAAAGTACGTTCCAATTCTGTCTCCTGTATATCAACTGAGACTCCGTGTATGGCAATTCTTGGTAGGCGTGTGGCCGGAACTTTTATGTCCACTAACTCTTGGCCTTTATCACTTGTCAGTGAGCTTTGCAGCTTATTAAGATCGTTCTCTGAGTGGCAGTCAACTGCCAGTCCTCCTTTTTGTATGTTTCTTATAGCCGCGACCTTTACTCCTAGCTTTGGCAGTGGGAACACCTCGCTGAGTTTAGTTTTGAGTTCCTGGCTCGTAGAGCAGGTGGCCTCCTTCGGATATATTAGTAGCGTGTGACTTGGCGCTGCCACTTGGTGTTGACTTTTTATCTTCGCTGTAACTGCCGCGTAGGTTTTCTGCTGCTGTACGTGCCGTTGCTGCGACTCCTCGTGTATGCTGTTGTCCTGTTGCACTGTGCTCGGACTGCTGCCGTGTGCGAGATCACAACACAGCACTGCTGAAGTGTTTGTACTTGCTTCGGTTGTTGGTGGCTGGACTCATTAAAATTATGATGAATGTTTTCGGTAATTACATATTATCCCGTCCACCACTGGCGAAAATTTCGGCAACTGCCGCCAATCGCCCATCGTTACTGTGGAGTTCTCAAGGAAATGGTCATTCATAATTGGCTCTAAATCGTGATGCTTGGCCGGTCGACAGGATAATACGTAACTGCAATTTTATCTTTTTAATAATAACTATTTTCGTCCGACTGTTTTCGATTATTAATAGCTATTTTAGTAATAAATATCTTAGGACTATTATGCTTTTTAATAATAATATTTAGTAATTCTATTTTCTTTTTAATAGTAGCTATTTTTAATAATAACTGTCTGAACTATTTTAATAATTAAAATTTTTAGCTATTATAATAACTATTTCTTTTTCTTTATCAATGAACCATGCTAACGAAATTATATTAATAATAATATTTAATAATTCTATTTTCTTTTTAATAGTAGCTATTTTTAATAATAATTGTCTGAACTATTTTAATAATTACAATTTTTAACTATTATAATAACTGTTTCTATTTATTTATCAACGAACCATGCTAACGAAATTATATTCTCTAACGAATTTTAAAATACTCGCCTGTTAAAGTTACCTTCGCATAGACGGCTTTGAATTTTTTATCTAATCGTAGGGAGATTCCCTGAAATTTGATCTCTGTTAGCACTGAATCATTGTAACGAATTTCAGATTCTCTGACTTTTAAAACATTCGTCCATTAAAGTTACTTTCGCACAGAGAGCTTTCAATTTTTTATGCAAGTCGTAGATTGATTCCCTGCTTAAAGAAGATTTCTTGAAATTCGATCCCGATTAGCATTGAACCATGGTAACTAGTTAAGATTCTCGAATTTGAAAGCATTAAATGCCTTCTTCGTGTTACTCGCAGCCATTTTGTCAACTACATCACACGATTAGAAGTGATAACCTATGTCAGTTGGTTCCTTAAACTCTAATTACGTTCTCAAAAGTACGAATAAAACTTAATGAAACCTGTATTTTCAAAATTTTTAATACGATTTACTATATCGCATTGTAAGTTAATGCGTTTATCAATTTTCTGATGCATCATTCATGTTCATTCTTAATGGTGTAAACTTGGATTTCAAATAACTAAAATCTTGAAAACTTTACTACACCGTATTTGCAATAAATACAGAGATGAAATGTGTTTACGGACCGCATAAAATTGCTTCAAAGCTCACCAGCTTGAATTGCATTAATTACCGGTCTATGTCACCCCATCGAATGTTAAGGAAAAATATTAATATTTATGCACATATAGCTCCTCAAGTTTCAATATGATGAATTTCACTCGGACCTTTTTAATAAATTATTGAAATTGTTATCTACCTCTATATTCTATGACGTAATAAATGATAATTCTCTTACCTAATTGTATATACGATCTAAACCTTTATCACAAAATTATAGAGAAAGAAATTTAAAAGGAATTCCAAATTAATTAATGATTGTTATGTATACTACTATATTAATTGATTATTCATTTCTAAATTTTTAGTCTAATACTGTATTCTTAGATAGCAATAAATTTTCTTTCTTTCGTTATATTGTCGTAAAAGATAATTCTCAACTTCAAATAAGATAAGATATCATGATATAAAAGTTTCCTAGGAAACTAAACATACTTTCCAAAACGAATATTTTAAATTGGCTTTGAATATTTTAATTCTGATATAAAAGTTTATTTGAAAACTATACATTCTAAAAGTATATTTTAAATTGCCTCTGAATTCTATTTCATCATAATATAAACATTTACTTGAAAGCTAAACATACTTTCCGAAACGTATATTTTAAATTGGGCGCTGAACTCTGTTTAATCATA